GAACACTCATATGAATTTGGTTATGAATTTTTGGTTATGAATTCTGTTGGGTAGTGCCCAAAACCAAAGTCCATATTGTAAACAAGTGAGATTGCTTTTCTAATTTACATGTAAACATATAGTAGCTATAAATACTGAAATGACATTGTTAATTACATACCAAATTGAACATTGAGTGCTAGGTGGCTGTTTAATAATACCTATAAATAATAGACTCAAGTCAGTAAGTAATAAGCTGCTTTGTTCCTTTTAGAGAAACTGTGAACCTCATGATTTAAAAGCCTGAGAAAAATCTTCCTGAGATGGAAAAGTGCCCTGCACATTGCAGCTCTTCAGCCACATTGTCCCAGCAGCAGCCTGTTTTACTCAGTCCTGTGGCACTCAGATTTAGGGCTGAGATACTGTGGTAACTTAGACAAGCCCAGCAAGCCCTCAGGTGTCCCACTGAATAGAGCCCTTTTTACCCAGCAGCAGAAACTGCACCAGGGGAGAGGCAGCAAACAAAATTAATTTTGAGCATCTCTTGTCAATTCAAGTTGCTCTACAATATCCAGTGACAGAACTGATTTTTTTCTTTGAAGTGAGCTGGATTTCTTCCTTGGCACAAATTGGCACCTGTGGCTATTTACTCATATGTCAGCTTAGTATTTTGCTCTGTTTTCCATGATGGAATTTTTCATGAGGCCTGAGGAAACTGGAGGTTTTCCAGACATGACAGTAAAAGTGAAATGCTATTTCAGTAAATGTGAAAAAAGATTGATAAATTCAGAAGACATTTTCTTACATATCCATTGGAGCTCAGCTTCCATTTTGTCTTCCATTCTTATAAAATTTTGAACAAATAAGTGTTTTCTCCTAAGTATTTATTGTAGAGCTACTAAGGTCAGAACTGGCTTGACTTGGTTTGTTGCAGAATATTTATGCTGTGTCATACCAGCTATTTTCTATATGACACTCCAGGATAATACAATCACTTGGAAAGCAATCAAAACAGTCTCTTTTGAAATTTGAAATTCATGGATTTTGTCTTCTTAAATAGCCTTAACTACAAAGTCTGTTTTGCAAAACAACACATACCCTCTCTCCTCTCTCCCAAGAATTTAGACTTTTAATTTGAGTCATTCCAGGAATTAAAGTCTGTAGCTTTTCTGGAACACTTTAAAAACAGCCAATGTATGCTAAACCCTGATCATCATATGAGAATATTTCCATGGCAAGGATTTCTTACAATTTGTCAACAGGAAGTTCTTTTACAATGAGATATGAATAGTGACCTGAATTTCTTATGATTCTGAAACTTGTGTTTTGCCTGTTAATGTGTTTTGGCTCAGCTGATGGAAGTATCACAGCCAAGTCTGCAGCTGAATCATATCAGTGGAGGCAGCGGTGTGAGCAGAGCGCTGCTGAACGCCAGAAAGCCTTGGCTGGCAGGGGGGCTGCTGCAAACTCATGGCACACATGGTCCATCACAGCAGCTTCAGGGCTGCTCTGCCTCAGGCCGGTGCTCCTTGCCTCCTGACAGCCTCAGGAGAGCCATACAGACATTTTTGCTGCCTCCTGCTGTCTCAAGCGGTCTCAACACACCTGGGACCACCCTAAGGATGAGAACCTGCATACACCAGCAGCAGAATCACTGTGCCTTTCCATGCAAAATACAGGAGACTCAATTGAATGGGTATTTGGTTTGAACCACAAGCCACAAACACAAGCCAGTGTATGAAATGGACCATGTCTTCAGAGCATTTACATGGCTTCTAAAACTGATTTTGACTGTAGATAAGTCACTACATAGTAATACTTCTTCTGAGTAAGATCAGACTTGAAAAGGGAACATGTATTTTTTTGCCTTTACTATTTCTAGCCCAATGTACTACTCTTGCACTTCCACAGCATCTGCTGTTTGAATGTATCAGTCAAGTAAATCTCACAATACTTGGGTAAATCTTAATCCATTAATGAATGCAAAGCCAAGGCACAAAGAAGTGATTTATATAATTGTGAATACTAATAAGTATGTGCTTCAAGATGATTACATTCCATGCACTTATAAACTCTTCTGAAGACATAAACTGTTAAGAAATAAAATGAGCTTTGTTTCCCTTACTAATTTGTTTTTGAGAAATGAACTTGAATATTCAATTATGGGTTTATTATTCTGTGAATCAGTTTACAGTGATCAGTGGATATAATTTTTAGTATGAAAATGTTATTCGTGCATATTACAGTTCCAGGCATATATTATCCTTTCACGAAAACATTTCAATCTTCAGGTCTTTATGCAAAAGATTGGCCCGTGGGCTCTGCACAGGATGTAAATTAAGTTCTTGTTTGGCTAAATCTGATTACCCTGTAGGGTACCAATCTTGCTTAGTGACAGTGGAAGCTAAAAATTGCAAGCAGGACAGTACACTTGAAATGGGGCCAGGAAGGGTCAGTTTTTAAACAGCAAGTCTGAGTTTTGAAGTAGATTTTAATAGTATGCCTAAGAAGCTGTCTCCTCCATAGCTGCTATCATTGCTTTTAAATATCATAATGAAATTGAGAAAAGCTCTTCTTTTTTTAAGTACAAGTCTTTATTAATCATATGTAAAGATGCTGCAATCACTTTAGCCCAGCCTTTAGTCAGTCTGCAGCTTAATTTCCATTGGACACTTCCTCTTTCTCCTCTCATATTCTATCAAAATTAATGGGCCAATAGAGAAATTCAGTGAATAGCAAAACAGCACACAGGCTTATCAAAACAAAACCACCTCAAGTCAATACAAACTAAGACTTTTTGAAAATTACCAAAATACTGTTGCTTTATTGTGGACTTACTGAGCACATGAGAGAGACTAAAAAGGCATATGCTGACACTACTGAATATGAACTACTGCTGTTCCTTCTGACAGGATTAGCTAAATACTTAAATGATAAGAACACCCCCCCTGTATTTTTCCTATACTCAGGAAATGTGCACAGAAGAGTCACTCTTTGATCTTTTTCACTAGCTTCAGTTACTGTAGCAGGCTTTTGTATATATAAAAAAAAATTATTTTTAGTAGTCTTTGGCATCTCCGTAGCTTTCCTTTGATGTATAAAGGTTTTATGATCAATAATATCTAAAAGCAGCTGGTGTTATTGCAATTGCTCTGAGTCAAGGATAAAACCCAACAAAAGTAATGCAACACTGGTGAAAATGATACAGCTTTTGGCTGTTCGGAAAATGTAATTATCTCAGTAAATGTATGTAGTTTTAGATTCAAAATTTCAGGCAGATTAATTTTAATAACATATTTTCACAGTGTTTCTATTAGATATTTTAAATCTATTTAAATCAGACCTCAACACTTACCTAACACATAAATACCTCACTCCCTCAATAGGTTTTAGATGAAGGGACTCAGCACTCCACACAGAATCCTAGTGAATTTGAAGGGAGAAAAGGATAAAACCAGGCCTGGAGATAGCCTGGGGGCAACACGCCAGTGTCTGAGGGAGGGTGTGCTGGAGAGGTCCTTTCATCTGTTGTCTCATGGAGACTGGGGACGGATTTCCATGTGGCAGCAGTGACACGAGGGATATTGATGTGCTGGAAACCCCAGAAGTGCCTGAGAATGATCAGATGGAAGGTCTTGCTTGACTGACCCAATGTCCTGTGACAAGATGACCTGAAGAGAGGACGAGGGGAAAGCTGTGGATGCTGCCTTCTAGACTTCAGTAAGGCTTTGACAGTGTTTTCCACAGTATTCTCCTGGAGAAACTGGCTGCTCAAGGCTTGGATGGGTGCACTGTTCACTGTTAAAAACTGTCTGGATGGATGAGCCCAGAGTGCTGGTGGATGGTGCTGCATCCCCCAGCAGTGCTGGAGCCATTTCTGTTTAATATCTTTATCAATGATCAGGATGAGGGGATCAGTCTGCAGAAGACACCAAGCTGGGCAGGAGTGTGATCTGCTGGAGGGCAGGAGGTCTCTGAACAGGCTGGATGGATAGGCCAAGGCCAATGGTGTGAGGGTCAACAAGGACAAGCAGAGGTCATCTCAGTAGTGTCTACCATGAGGCAAGAGTGTGCCAGGTGGCCAAGGCCAGTGGCAGCCTGTGGTCAGCTGGGCCAGTGACCCTTCCCCTGTACTCAACACTGGTGAGGCCACAGCTCAGCCACTGTGTCCAGTTCTGGGCCCTCCTTTCAGGAAGGACAGGGAGGGTACTGCTGGAGTGTTACTGCTCTCTACAGCTACCCCAGAGGGGGTTGTGGAGAGGTGAGAGTCGCTCTCCCAAGTCACAAGCAACGGGAGAGGACACGGCTGCAAGTTGTGCCAGGGGAAGCTGAGATACTAGGAAAAATTTCTTCACCAGAAGGGTTGTCAGGCAGCTGAACAGGCTGCTCAGGGAGGTGGTTGAGTCACTGTCCCTGGAGGTACTTAAAAGACAAAGCAGCTCACAGCTTAATCCCAGCATGGTCCAGTGTATGCTGATATTGTTTTTGGGGGATGAACACTAAAATTACATGTTCAGAAAACAGTTTTAACTGTGAATTTACAGAAGCACAATCAAAACCTTCCATTTGAATTCCCACAGCTCCCCCACGCCAAATAATACATATCTGCATGATGAGGCACATTAACTCCTCTGACATCGAACAGTTTTTTCCTTGGATTAGTTTGAGTAGTGAATCAATTTCCTGATCTGGTTCAGCAGGCAGACACAAAAATGTCTGTGTTAATGGAAGTGAGCAGCTCAGAAAATGAAAATGCTTTTGATTGACCTCTACCCATTTAAAGCACATGTGAAACTACCTTAGGGATGTTATACACAGGCTGTCAGAACATATGGCCATTAACCACCAGTCCACTGGGGCTCTGGTCTCTCCCTTTCTGGGGTATTTTCTTGTATTATCCAATTATTGTTTTAGATCAGAACTACCTATTAAAGTGTGCATTCACATTGTGGTCAAAGCTTACATACTGTAAGATATGATTTACTGTAAAGCCCTGAAGAATTATGACATATCCACAGTAGTCTATTTCAAAAATTTATTTTCCTAAACATGGCATTTTGTAAATTTTTAATATATACCCTTTACAGTACTGATGCAGTGTAACATTCACAAATATTTTCAAAGCGCTGGTTATTATCTCAGCAAACACCATTAATGACAGTTTTCATTTTCATTTACTAATAATACGTAAAATCACAATTCAGTGGCCACTTTAGCCTGATAATACCACAGCTGTATGAAACACTGATCTGCTACTGTATCAGTAACATTTATTTCATTTTGCAGACAAATTATTATAGCTGATGTGGACAAAGCTCTTTTTGCTCCAGTTGAAAAAGCCTGTGAATAAACCATGTCATGTTTAGATATAAAAAATAGGTCAATGGCTACTGAGATGATGCTTCCAAAAGCAGAACCTTCCCTACAGCACAGCCTTAGGAAAACACTTCCTCTCACAGCATATATTCTTTTTAACAGAAACCTCTCAGTAGGTACTGGATAAAAAAAAAGCAATTTAACTGTATAAATGGACAGAGAGAAGATAGTGAGGAATAAGACTTATTTTAATTTAAAAATGGCATACCATTTTAGACTTCACTTGAACCAAGCTCCTTCCAATTGCTGTTACCTACCTGGAGGCCACAAAAACAACCCTCAGGCAAGTTATTTTCAATGCTTTGGTGAATTTGGCGAGAAGAGCACATTTTTTTGGAAGAAATGAACCACGAGAAAGCAGTGCATGCTTGTAGTAATGTCATTCTTCATATAGGAATTACCAGTTTTGTCTTTACCAAGGTAAATGACAGGCAGCACATTTGTTAATTGCTCAGCAACTAAAACATTTACCAGTTATGGATCAGAGGAGCTCTTGTCCAAGGGAGGCACATTTCTCTTAATTAAAAAAAAATCTAAGAAGATCCTATTGTATTAGTACTTTATATGAAATAGTATCTTAAAACTTTATCAAAAATAGCAGATAATGACACTGAAGAGAGGATTATTCTAAACTGATTGTATATATACTCTCAAATCAAACTCGTTCCTTCACCTATATTGTATTAGTTATGGATAGCTACTGCCCCAGCCAGACACTGCTGCAAAATTTTTGTCTTTATGTACCAATACAGCTAGTGGAGACATCATTCTGAGACCAGAGTTCAGGTGCAGCACACTGAATCTCATATTATTTAGCAGCCAAAACTCTACAGTAAAAACAGGACACTCATTACCCATTCCATCTGACATGAACAAGGAACAGCTTTTAAAAGTTTTCTTTGTTGTGTTTCAGTGCAGAAACATTTTAGATATTCTTGGAATAAAGGGCAAAGGAAATCTACATAGTGATTATAAATTAAGACCAGTGTTGACTTTTATTTACATAGTTTAACAAACAAATTCAAGTAATTATTGCATCAATCATTCAGATTTTGAACATTACTATAAAGCACAAGTTTATAACATACAGTGTTGCATTCTTCATGGAGCTGTGATTATTGTTCTACATTTTTCTTTCTCCGACGAAGCCACCTCAGAGCTCTCACCAGTGCTACTTGTCCCATGAGGAATGTGATCCTAAAGTTACGTTTATACCAATCTCTAGGATTCCAAAGCCAAGAAAATCATCAGTGCACAGAGCAAGAACAGGAAAAATATACACAATTATATTAAAATATCCTTTGGCATTGACAAATGATATTTCATTGATGACCTGCATTTTCTGTTCTTTGTGGCAACCCTTTCCCAGCTAATAAGAGTTAAATAACCTATGAAAAAGTCTGTGTGTATATCCACATTCAGGAACAGATTACACATGGGTTACAGGGTTGCAACTTCACGTGGAATCAGGTGAGATAAAATAGTTAAAACCATGTCTCATGTTTCAGAAGTAAAGCAGATCACCAAGCTATCTGGACTGCCCACCAGTGCTGTGCTTCAGGTAAAATTTGTTTGTGTGGGGATGAAGATGCCTGTGTTAAAAAGGGCAGAGTTGGTCTCATACAAGGGTGGCAAAAAATCAAATCAAATCACACTTCAAAGGCTAATTGTATAACCCTTCTACTGCAGTATCTTTTAAAGATAACACTTTTAATATTGTCAAAGTTAGTCTTTATATCTTTAAATAATTTAATTTTTATGAATCATGCATGGCTTCTGGAACCAATTAAAATTATTCACAGTGTAGTCTGTATCAGCCCTTTCTAACCTCTGCAAACTTGCTTCAAGTTCTTTGCCCCTGTTAAAAATTAAAAGAATATCAAATTTTTTTCTAGTTTCTAACAAGAATCTCACTCCCATGTTGTAAAATGCTCACAAGGAGCAATAGGATACATAGAATTCTAGAACTAGAACACTGGGATTTAGGTCTTTTCCTGAGATGTCTGGGGCAAACCTTGCATGCACAGATCTAACATAAGCCTGAGATACCAACCTCTCAGTGAGGACAGCAGCCAAATTCACACTGACAGGCAGCACTGAGCTACCCCTTCAATTGTCATGTTAAATAAAAGTATCATGCTAACAGTGCAACTGTTTCTTTTCCCCCTTCACGTTTAATTTCCTATATCCTTCTTGAATTTTTTTCTGAAACTAAATTGTATTTCCATCCTAAGTACCCTGAACCAAATATTCAAGGCATCTATGCACAGTCATTGCTTCAATTTTAACTACATTTTAGAAGTTGCAACACTTCAGCTGCCAGTTTTCAGGCCAGCTGGCAATACTGCAAAAGAACATACAGCTAAATGCATAAACAGATTTTTATAAATATGACCCTTCAGAATCAGACTGCCTGTAAAACGCTCTGCTGTTTTCAGGGCTGTGCAGTTCCACTTTGAAACTACAACAGTGCAGCCAATACAACCTGATTTTACAAGTCAGCAGCAAGGAAGGTCATGTTTAAGCACAAAGCCTGAATTAGCATCCCCCTGAAGATGGGATGCTATCCTATGGTCACTGCAATAGCAGCAGCAAGGAAGGTCATGTTTAAGCACAAAGCCTGAATTATCTTCCCCTGAAGATGGGATGCTATCCTAAGGTCACTGCAATAATGGCAACTGGTAACCAGTTCTAAGATGAACTATTTGCATTCCCACTTATCAATTATAGTCAAGGTATTGATAATCCTTTCACTAAAAACAATTTCTTTGCATTTTTCATGCTGTTGCTTTGAGTTATGGTGAGGTTCTCCCCTGCCCCTCCATGGGCAAGGTAGGATGTATATATTTAAATATTTGTTAGTTAAATTGTTCTTACAGGATAGTATTTTATGATTTATAGCATATAGTACATATATACAGTATATATATATAGTATATAGTACATATATAGTACAATATACAAGGAAACTTAAGCCACCATTGGTTACAGATCAGTTGCAGTGATGGCAGAACTCTCACTAGCATTAGACCATGAGGAACCCAGTTACACCTGACACTTTTGAGCCCAATAATCTCTCAATCCAGTACAGAGAGGAAACTGCAGTTGTGCTTTCACATTCAGTGGTCAGCATTCCTGGATTAAGTGCTGTCTTCCTTCAGTTTCCCATTCCTCTCTCATTTCTAGCCCTTTTTCAAGAGTGCACAGCTACTTGCAGGGGTATGTGTGTTTGCAAGTAATTTTTCACCCCTTTCAGATCCCCAATCCAGTTTATTGAGTTGTACACACAGTAACACTGAAACAAGGCAGGAGATGCTCTGAAGAGTTGGATGTGGGTTTACCAAGCTGTAGCTGAGGTTCTACCCAGGACAGGTGATCAGTTTATGCCTTGTCAAAGTCAAAAGCTGATCACTTTTTTGCTAGACACTTGCAAAATAACAGACACAGGATTATTAAATATTACTCCCATTAAATGATTTTCCTTTGAGATAAATCACATTTACTTGTCCTTATTTAACAGTCAGCTAGAATCTGTTATACAGAACTTTCAAGTGGTCTATTTGCATATTTATCAGTTTCAATTAGCAGCTTGAAAAGACCCATGCCATAAGATAATAAAATGTGCCTGATCTTGTCTCTTTAAATCTCAGACTTGAGCTTATCTTTCCACTAAAACAACAATAAGCAGCAGCAGAACTCAAATGATAATGCAGATTTGTCAAATGCTAATAACAGCATTAATTTTTTTCCCAAAATTACAGGGGTTTGTGCTGTTTTACCAATTACAGAAAAAAAGTTCACATTTTAAACTTGATCTTATACCTTTCACTTAAACTGCAATGTATAATGGTCAACATAACTATCTTTTACATACCTGTTATACTGCAAATGCTTTTTTAAATTTTTACTTAGAAAGTCCTTGTAAAAGTCAGCCATTTCTTCTGCATTCAGTGTTGCTTTCTGACCTGAAAATAGGTTTTGGTGTAACAAAGTCAAGGCAATTCTTTGGATCAAAACACTGGGTTCAGATGCTAGGTCTAACTCCTTGCTCCTACAAGCTTTCTGTGTAAACCTGAACAAATTAATATGCCTTTATCTTTCAACCTTTTAAAACTTATCTAGAGAGCACAGGATATTAAAAATACTGATCATCTTGAAGCTGGCATAGTTCTTAAACCTCTATTACTTGTGGAAGTAATAAAGTTTATCAGCTCTAGACTATTTAGGAAACCAGTGAACCCCTATGAAAATGTGCATAGATCTAGGACTATCTATCCTTTGAATAAAATAATTTCTCACAGGGCTGAAGCCTAAAGAGTACCAATGAGAGCATTTAGTAACTTTCATTTCCCTCCCTAAAGCAAGTCCATAAATCTCAAAAGAACACTATCCACAATCAACATTGTATTTTCAGATGTAATTCTTTTTCTGTTACTGTTAATAAATTTCAAGTAACTTCAGGCAAAAAGTTTATGTTCTGAGATGTCAGACTTCCAAACAATCTAGTAGGCAATTATTTTGAGAAGAGGCAAATACAAAAGATGATTTTGAATATGTCACCCATAACCAGAATACAAAAGGTCCAGGAAGACCTGTGGCTAGAGCACAAGATGTCTAATCTTGAGAACCAGCAAATATTCTCAACTCTATCAGACAATTCCTACACAAACCCTCTGGCACAAAATGTCCCTAAAATGACAGTCAAATTTCAATGCCCCAGGGAGCATGGATATGATGAGGGAAATGGAATTACAATATTCAACTTGTTACTGTTCCAAAATGCATTTTAAACCTCTTGAGATTGACCACAGAAATGTAAATTATTGATTGGTTCTATTTGTCATTATTTAAAAAACTAATATACCACAATGTATTAACATACTATGGGATAAATTAACTATAAAACCATTTGAAGGCTGCCAGCTTAATACTTATAGTTAATTTGTTTCTTCATGCTGGTACAGCAAAACTGATTCATTACATAGGAAAGTAAGTTTCCTTCCAACTGTTTGTGTATATTTTTATTTTTACAAGCATTCACAGCTGTATTATAGAATAGCTGACCAAAGGCATGCAGTTGATATAGATTTATTTTTAATGGAAGTATGTGGTCACTCTCTTTTACTTCTAGAGTATAAAAGCAAAACAAAAAACCCAACAAAACAGCAATATAAAATAAGTGGTTTTGAAACAACATAGATCTTAATTAAAATTACTTCTCAAGTACACACTGATCACCAGAATACAAACAGAAAAGAAAAATAATGGTCTGTGACATACAGAACGTCAGAGCAGATGCTTCACTGAACTCAAGCAGATCATTATTCTGTGAACAAAGTGTTCAACCTCATACTACAATGCCCAATTCACTATTATTATGAAGGCATTTTGTTTTCATTTTCATACAATGAATTAGATGGACAACTATTTTACAGTAACTGTGCCCAGGCAGAGACAGGCAGATAGCAGCTGCCTTACTCTCCCCCAAGGAAAAATATTGTATTCATTGGACACGCCAGGGACCTGAAGCCAAAGACTGTGAATTTATCCACCCAACCATACCATGCACTTGAGGCAAATGCTCTGCATGTTTATCTCAGCCAGCTCACTGGCTTAGGAGGCGTGAAAGTAAAAGTCCTTTCCTCCTCAGGCTACACAATTATTATATTACTGGGCTAGGATTTCAGCACATTCCCTCTGGCTGAGGGGAAGGAATTAGGGATGTCAGTGCAACAGATGATCTGACCTCCACATGCACATCTCCAAAAAGCTCCTTGTCTCTTTTATTATCACACTCCTGAAAACAGTTCTAAATCCTACCCCTAAGATTTACTTGTGACAGAACATAAAGAGCATAAACTAACAAAACTGAAAGTTAAGCAGAATTCAGAATGCATCCTAAACTATTAACAAAGATCTCACTAACCTGATTCATCTCTCATTTCCAGACCCTTGGCTTTCAGTCTTGAATAAATAAATTCTTCTTTTTCCTAAAACATGTTTTTCCACATTAGAATGGGATGTAATCAGTCCTTAAAGTTAACCATTGTTTTTAATTACATAGCAATGTGGTGTTCAACACCCTTGGAAATAACTAGCAATACTTGTTATACTTGGAAGTGTCAACTAAACACTTTTCTTAATCCAGGGAGTTAGTTAAACTGGTCACTTAGATCCTGCTACCTGCATTCATCAATTAATTCATGCAAATGTCCTACTGATGCTTATAAAACTGATTTGTGGATTAAAGCTACAGCCAAACTTCAGTCTTGTTTGGCAGAAGTCAAACTTTCAGTTTGTAAAACAAACTACGGAAATGTGCTGTACTGTATAACTGAAATTTTGAGCATAGAGGAAAACATGCAGCCTAAAAAATTAAAATTATTTAGATGGAAGCATAATAATAATTTGTGTGTGAGTTTTACAGACTTAAAAACAGTTCTGTGAAATTAAAAAAAAAAACAAGCTTCATTTTTTTTCTGGGATCTTTGCAAACTTTGAGAGGATATGATGTTAAACATCATAAACAGTGGTGAATTACTGAGCTGTTACTGTTCTTCAAAAAAATGCCACATTGGCTGGGAGATGCTAAAATCAGGAAAGACAGACTCATTTTAGCCTTGCTGGGATACACTGCCAGTGAAATAGGACATATCATTTGGTAATTACACCAAATTTCTCTCACTTATGACAAGAGAAAAACCAGCCATGAAATAATTTTCAACAGCTTCTCTAGTCACAGACAGGTCCAGCATGTAGAGCAGCTACAACTTTATACTTTCAGCGCAAGACAGGAAAAAGGCAAATACTCTATGCCACTAGGCAGCAATAAAACACGTGGGAGTTTTAGTTTTGTGCATCATTTAAATAAATGAACAACAAAACCATCATTTCCTCCGTTAGCCGGAGTCCCAGCTCAGGGAGGTCGAGCCCCCCGGTTTCGGGCAGAACCGAGCCCCAGCTCAGGGAGGTCGAGCCCCCCGGTTTAGGGCAGAACCGAGCCCCAGCTCAGGGAGGTCGAGCCCCCCGGTTTAGGGCAGAACCGAGCCCCAGCTCAGGGAGATCGAGCCCCCCGGTTTCGGGCAGAACCGAGCCCCAGCTCAGGGAGATCGAGCCCCCCGGTTTCGGGCAGAACCGAGCCCCAGCCCCCCGGTTCCGGGCAGGCAGGCGGAGCAGCAGCAGCAGCAGCAGCGAGGCCGCTCACCTGGCGGAAGGCGCGGTTGTGCCGTGCCCAGAAGCGCTGGTTGCTGGCCTGGGCCTCCTGGCGCGCCTCCCGCAGCCGCCGCTCCAGCGCCGACTCCTCGGGGGGCACGTAGAAGATGACGGGGCGCAGGTTGGAGTGCCTGTCCGGGGGCCCGATCCAGTCGCTGTGCGAGTGCGCGGGGGGGCGGAAACCCAGGCCCTGCCAAACACAGACACAACTTGTGAAGAACCTCTCAATTTGGAATAAATTCCCAAACGCCACGGAAACTTAAAGCACGAAAGCATAGCAAGTTCAGAAATAAAGCACGCTTATTTACTGTGACCAAAACCAATGGCATACAACTTACAATTTACTTTTACTTACAAATGCGCTACAGAGAAGATACCTTGAACTCTTTGACCATGGGCACGAATCATGAGATTTTTTTTTAACCAACTTTTTTTTTTGTTGTTGTCGTTTTCATTTTTCTACCACTGATACTCTAGAGAACCAGCAAGTATCCAAGTTTTTTGCGGCGCTGATCTCTGCCCTCTGGTGACCAGTGACAGCACCCGAGGGAACAGCATGAAGCTGTGTCGGGGGAAGTTTAGGCTGGATATTAAAGGCTCTTCACCCTGAGGTGATGGTCAGTGGAACAGACTCCCCGAGGATGGGGTCACGGCCCCAAGCGTGACAAGCTCAAGGAGCTTTCGGACAACTCTCTCCGTGGTGCGATTCTTAGAGCTGTTCTCTGCAGGGCCAGGAATCGGATTTCGGTGATCCTTGTAGGGACCTTGAAACTCAGCATATTTTATAATTCTGTGATTCTAAGTTTTCCTCAGCCCGGCGTTCTTCCTGCATCCCCCACACACAGGCGTGTGCCTGCCCCAGCCCGGTTCGGAACATCTGGCGTTAGCCAACAGCCCGGACCTCAGCGCCCCTCAACAACCAACACCGGGGGACTCGACAAACACATCAAACACCAGAGGCCGCGGGGACCGCGGTTTGCTGTCGGCCGCCCCCGCCCCGCCGGCGTTACCGGGAGGCAGCCGGAGCGCTCCGCGCTCAGAGCTCCGAGGGGGCGGCAGCCCCCGAGGATTCCCCCGCGGCCCCCGCAGGAGCTGTGCCGCCCCCCGCCGCGTTTACCACGCTGTCCGGCCGCTCCCCGCGCTCAGCCGCGCGGCCGCTGCCGGAGGAGGCGGAGGAGGAAGCGGAGGAGAGGGGGCGGCGGCGGTAACAGCCACCGGCCTGCAGCACCCGGGCGGCCGCCATGGCCCGGCGCTTTACGACGCTGCCGCGCGGGGGCTGCGGGCGGGGCGGGGCCAGGTCGGGGCCGGGCCCGGGCCCGCCTCGGCCTCCGCCTCCCTCTGCGCGGCCGGGCCGGGCGGGGCTCGGGCGGTTCGCGGCGCTCGGCCCGTGGCGCAGCGCCGGGCCGGGCAGCGGGTCCTCGCCGTGCGGCGGGTGAGTGAGTGAGTGACTGCGGCGGGTCGCGGGCGCCGCGCGGGTTCGCTGCGGGGCCGGTGGGGACGGGCCTCCCGCAGGTGCCTCGGCGGTGGCCCGGTGTCATTTCCTCTTCGCGCTGCGCCGGGCCCCACCGCGGGGGAGGCGGGAGGTTGCGGCCATGGAGAGGGCGACGCGTCCTAAGAGGCAGCAAGGTATGTGCGGAGACGGAGCGCTGCCCCGCGGTTGTGGCGCCCGAGGGCCGTCGGGTTCGGCCGCTGTTCTCCCCCCGCTCCCGGTTCTCCCCTGCGCTGGGGGTGCCCTGTTTGTTCTGAGGCGGCTCCAGGTGGGCAAGGCAGGGCGGAAGGCTGGGGGTGAACGGCCTAGAGCTGAGCGTGTGGCAACTAAAGCGTCGCCCCTGCGGCCCGACCGGGAGAAAGGTGTAAAAAAATTAAAGGGTTGTGAAATATCAACCAAGCGGTTTATTCGTATTGGTGATGATACTTAAAATATCATCAATGTAATGCTGAAGTGCTTCAGAATGTAAAAGTTGCAATGTGTGCTCGTGAAGCGCTTAAGGAAGTCTTGTTATCGTTTTCCTTGTAGTTCTTCTGCAGCTGGAACCGGGAAGAGGAATGGATATGGGTAACCAACACCCATCCGTAAAACGGTTACATGAAATACAGAAAGAAGTCAAAGAGATTGAACAGCAAGTGGCTGTCTTCAGCGGTCTGTCTACCGACCGAGATTACAAGAAATTGGAAAGAAACCTTACAAAACAGCTTTTTGAGATCGATTCCGTAGACACCGAAGGGAAAGGGGATATTCAGCAAGCCAGAAAGAGAGCTGCCCAGGAAACTGAGAGGCTGCTGAAGGAACTGGAACAAAATGCAAACCATCCGTGCAGATTGGAAATAGAGGCTTTATTCAAGGAGGCACAGTCACTTGTGGAACGCAAGATCACACCTTTTTACGAAGGAGGAAACTGTATAGGTGATGACTTTGAAGAAGGAATTCAGGACATTGTGCTGAGGCTTACCCAGGTGAAAACTGGAGGGAAAGTTTCTCTACGCAAGGCAAGATACCGCACTCTGACAAAGATATGTGCTGTCCAGGAGATTATAGAGAGTGGTGCAAAGAAACAGCTGTCCCTGCCACTCTCTAATGATGTTCATCCTTCTGTCTCCAAAATTAACTCGGTAATGTGTGAGGTGAACAAAGCCAGAGGAACTCTCATTGGGCTTCTAATGGGAGTGAGTAGTAATGATACCTGCAGGCATCTGTCCTGTGTGCTCACAGGCCTCATTGCTGATTTGGATGCTCTAGATGTCTGTGGTCGCACGGAAATAAGAAACTACAGAAAGGAAGTAGTAGAAGAGATCAACAAATTGCAGAAATACCTGGACTTGGATGAAGAAGCAAATTCTACTCATGCTTATGATTTGGCAAAAAATCAGTCTATTCTGAAAATAGAAGAGATCCGTAAGAAGATGAAGGAAGTTCGTTCCTTACTTCTAAAAACAGAGAATGCCTCTGATTTGTATCTGGGATCCAAAGCAGAGTTGCAGGGACTAATTTCCCACCTAGATGAAGTGAGTCCAGGAAAAAATCCCTGTATTAGAGAGGCCAGGAGAAGAGCAGTAATTGAAGTTCAGACTCTTATAACATATATTGATTTGAAGGAAGCACTGGAAAAAAGGCAAATGTATCCAGAGCAAACTGCTGTTGAACATCAGTCCCATAAAGCAGTTTGGACTATACTTGGAAACTTGTCTCAAATTCAGAAAGAGGTGATTTCATTTGATGGAAACAGAACAGATAAAAATTACATGAGACTGGAAGAACTTCTTACAAAACAGCTTCTAGCCCTGGATGCTGTTGACCCACAAGGTGACGAGCGGTGTAAGGCTGCCAGGAAGCAGGCAGTAAAGCTTGCACAGAACATTCTTTACTATCTGGACATGAAAACAGATGAATGGGAATACTGAAACAGCCATGGCCTGACACAGAAGGACATTTTTCCCTTTGGCACTTTATGAAGATCATTGGCAGCACATAATAAAGTATTCTGTGCTTGCTGAAATCATGGAAATTGCATAAGCAGTTGACTTGGCTATATGTCTGCTATCCCACGCAGTCACCCACTTGCCATGGCAACTGTCAGTACACCATCAGCAATTCTGGTCACTGATATAGGCAAAGAAGTGCAATTCTCTGAAGGAATAGCTTAATACTTGATCAAATAGCTTCTTTTTTTTTTTTCTCTTTTTCTTTCTTGTTTTTTTCAATAGCCTTGTGCAGTGTTCAGTGAATGCAGGTTTTTCAAAGACACAGAAACTTCCTTATGGTACAATACTGGCAAAACTATTTAAGGAGACTGAACATGAAAATTAGTTTCAGGCATGAGGCTCCATCCAGCGACTTCACAGCAGTCTGGATGTACTGTTAATGTGCTGTCATGACATAAAGTACTAAGGACAAAAAGCCTGCTGGCTTTTGGATTGTACTTGATTTATTCCATCCATCATACCATGTAGATATCTCAGTTAATGGAGCTATAATGCCAGCTGCAAATCAGCATTTGCATAGGCAAAGCCAATTATGTCAATTTTTGTAATATCTGAGCCCTTTGATTTGCAAAACCAGGTCTTTTGTTGGTGGAAATTCTTTCAAGTTGTTGCTTTAAGGTACTGAGACTTGGAGAGGAAAATCTGTACGTTTATACCAAACAGATAAAGGGGATTTTGGGGATTTCAAACTGCCATCCATAAACCCTTGAAAACTGCACTGAACTTTATGTAGTGTCTGCTTAGGTGTCTTTTTAAACTCCGCTGTTGCATCTGGTTTTCACATTTGGCGAAAACATAAACAGATTTCACTTCGAAGTGAAATGTGCATTTTGGAATTATTTTTGTAAAATTAGGTAGCCAGCTATAAAGATGTCCCTAATGATGTAAGTGTGTGCTACATGGTCAGGTGTGGCTTCAAGCATGTCTTGGAAAGACTTGTGGCAAGCGTCTCTCTTTGCAACTCATTCACTTGTTTTAGAAGCTTCGTAAACAAGCTTGCTCGTACTGTTGTATGCACCTACTTTTTTATTTGTGGCTGCTAGTGCCAATCACATTTCTACTATAGCATGTTTTTTGGCATTTTTTTGAGAGCATGGCATTAAAATTATTTGAGTATATATAGATATATATAAAGAATATAGATCTATGTAAAGATCTATTCAATTGTGGATAATTTGCACTCACCTCTTTCAGGATGAACTAAGGAATTAGTGTTCTATAGACAATGATTTGCACCACTTTAAGGAGTAAAAACCGTTTCAGATGTTACAATAAATATTTTTAAGATCTATTTTTGACTGATTAGAGAAGACAGTACTGTCTGTGAGAGACAAGTGCCTTTATGACACTGCTGACTTGCACCGTCATATGTAGATATAGGAACTCTTTACTGGCAGCTTGATACATTTGTAATCTTTGCAAACTGGATTTTTCAGGTATATATCTAATTCTACTGTAGTATATGTCAAACTAACATAATACAATAGGTGACAGTGGCCCTATAGAGTCCTGAGAATGAGTATGAAATTTGGGAAATTCGTATTCTGCTTAAAAACTAAAGCATTGGTGTGGAGGTGGGGGGACTTGGGCAGGTCTTCTGTGCCTATTGCTACAAGAATAATATATTTGTTCATAACATACTATGAGATGTTGATTGAAGGCTGCATACCTTCAGAGTGTGAATAGATTTTGTTTGTGATTGTGCAGGTGATTGCTTTGCAAATGTACTTGCCAAAACCGACGTAATTGAGTACAGTGCCTAAGGCACAATTAGGCAATGACAGAATGTTTGTTGGAGGATTCTTCCTGCTCCTTCAGAGACACAACCCCATGGAATTTAACTCTCCTTCACTAAAAAAAAAAAAAATCCCCCTAATTAAAATTCCGATCTCTGTTTGAATATTATGTGGCTAACACAGAATATTAATAGTGTTATACACCTGAATTATTTTACTCATTTCAAGCTCTCTACATGTTTGAATTGCAACTTGTGATTTGCACTTACATTTTTAGGAGAGATAAGGATTTGATATTGTAATGATATTAACAATTTTTCTTTAGTATTACTGTCAGGTCTGCAGTGGTTACTTGTAGTTTGTTTAAACAGTTTCTGCGTTCCCTGGCAGAAAGCGTTTGAGCCTCTTATGTAAAAATGAGTAAGTATAGTTATCAGATCTGTTCTATTTTAAATGTGTCTTTTAGTTTTCCTGAATGGATTGTTATGCCTGCACCTCTAAGAATGCAGATGTGTAAGGATAGTGTAATTTGACTGAGTCCAGTATCAAGATATGTGGATTAAGCTTTTTTCCTGTGTTCTGTACTCTGATAAATTGACTGTTTAAATTTTGTGGTAAAATTCTCATCTGGAATGGGTTTAATTCACAGTTTTTGCATGAGTGAAAGTAATAAAATATATGTGCTTAACAAAAAAAAAAAAAAAAAAAAAAAAAAAAAAAAATCCCAAAAAACCAAAAAAAGAAATGCACAGGTTTCTCAAAAATTTGCTTTTATGCTGAATGTAATTTCTCTGTTTTTCATATCCAAAGACTGAGAGAGACACAACTTCTCTTTCCAATACAGCAGGCTAAAATAATCAACAAAATGTAAACGGACCAAATGGCAAAAGCCTGCGTTTTAGTACTATACTAAAATAGAATAACTTTTCTGTGTGCTGCGTTATGTACCTTAGAGCAAAATAATCGAGTGGATAGTGGATATTCTGGGGGAGAGGTAATCCTGCATCATGTTTCCTATTTGTTAACCAAATTCCCTTTTAAACTTGTTTTCTTTAGTT